CTATGGGATGGCGAGCCTGTGGCATCTGAGAGATAACAAACACTTGGTCATGGCGTCGTCATTACAGGTGGAACAGGCAGTGTAGGCGCGCATGTCGTTGCACGTCTAGCCCAGATGCCCTCTGTCACGAAAGTAATATGTCTCAACCGTCGCGGTCAGCTAGAGGCCCGAGAACGACAAATGCAGTCACTGGCCACAAAGGAACTCTCATTCCCTGAGGAGGCTCTTGCGAAAATCCAGGTCTTCGAAACCGACCTTGCAAAACCTCAGCTCGGGCTGTCGCCAGAAACCTACAAGAATCTACTGGAGTCTACCACACACATTCTGCACAATGCGTGGGCTATGAGTATCAAACGGCCGGTCCAGGGCTTTGAGTCACAGTTTCGTATTATGCGGAACTTGATCGAATTCGCCCGCGATCTCTCTTCACTAGGCGGTCCCCCGGTGAGCTTCCAGTTCATCTCGTCTATCGCCACTGTTGGGCATTACCCAATCTGGAAACAAGACCCGCATGTCCCAGAAGAGCGGTTGCCTCTTGATACGGTACTCCCTATTGGCTATGGGGATGCCAAATATATCTGCGAGCTCATGCTCGACCATACACTTCACGGTGACTCGCGGAGGTTCCACACATCGACCGTGCGTCTGGGACAGGTTGGAGCATCTGCCATTCCTTTTTAAATCGGCACAGACCATGAATCAGCTGCCTGATCTGCATGGGCCACTCTCCTGGACGCCTGTGGACGATGTGGCCGGCGCACTGGTCGACCTCCTCTTTGCCGATGACCCTTATCCGATTTACCATATCGACAACCCAATCAGGCAGCCATGGCAGGAAATGCTTTCCATTCTCGCCGATGCCCTCGGAATCCCGTCGGGCAACCGCCTGCCCTTAGACGAATGGGTGGCTTTAGTACGAGACTTCCCCGCAAATGCCCTTGACAAGGATCAAAACCCAGCCACGATGCTAGCTGATTTCCTTGAACATGATTTCCAACGCATGTCGGCGGGTGGTCTTCTTCTTGACACTACCAAGAGTCGAGAACACTCCCAAACTCTCCGCGCAGTCGGCCCAGTGAGCCCCGAGCTTGCGCGAAAGTTTATCCAATACTGGAAGAGTATTGGGTTCATTGCCTAGAGGTGAGCTCTTCTGAAGCAGCAAGTAACTATATTTGATCTCGTAAATATAAATGGAGTTATAGGTGAAATTTGCTGTTGCTATGTATTTAGTTCCGAATTTTGTCTCGTCTCAGAATATGAGGACCTGTACTGGAATGAAATAACTTGGGTATTTCTTGAACTTAACTTAGTCTTGCTGGGAACCCTAAAATCAAACACTTAAAATGTACTCGATAAATTGTCTTTCCCCACAAGAACTACCTGAAGTTACTATCATCATGGATCGTCTGGATTGACTAAGGAATAAAGTTGGTCAAATGCATAAAAATTCTGAAGGAACGAGGGAAAGCAGGTAGAAATATAACTAAATACACGATATTGTCGTTAAGGGCACCGAAATAATCAAGCTAGATCAGTGAATCCTGATTTAAGTGCTCATTGAACCACTCAATTCCTTGTACAAAAGCACTTCGCTTCGCATATCTCACATCTGGGATTGCTGGATCACCACGAACAGCAAATCCATGCTTTACACCACTATAGAGGTTGATTTGATAAGGAAGGCTCAACTCCCTCAAGATCCCCTCTGTGACGTGTCGCTTTTCAACCGAGAATATCCCGTCGGTTTCTGCTGCAGCAATAGATAGTGGCCCTTGAATGGCCTTGAGCTCGGCCTTTTCAATATGGGATGGGTGTGCTGTATAGCCCACATCGACTTTCCCCGGGTGCAGATGTCGCACGACATACTTGCCGCCGAAGCAATATCCTACAGCACCAATTCTCTAGTATATGTTAATACTGATGTTCATTGTATTTGACTGGGAACATACATACTTTGCAGTTGAATTTGGTCCTCATTTCTCTTAGACAGGATTCGACAATTGGATCAACAGTCGAGGGGAGGTGGCTCTTTCTTTCCGGGTGATACCCCCCGTTTCTCCACTTCTGCATATCGAATTCGCCTGGCTTGTTCAAAGGCACAGCATCACCGTAAAACATATCGGGCATGATAACAAAGTACCCATTCATGGCAAACTGGTCCGCAATGAGTTGAGCGTTTGGAACACGATGGCCGGTGATATCCGTGAGTCTGCCAGAAGTGAGAAATAGTGAACTTCGAGGGAACTTCGAGGGGATTATCAATAACGACTTACATCAAAATCCCATTTTCCGTCGACTTGGAAGGAGGGTGACTGGTATAGACCTCGAAGTCATCCACCATGGATACTGAGCCTTGTGGCTGACCATCATGTTTGAACCCTTGGTAGCAGCAAGATTGGGCAGGGAAGGACGCCATTTCAACAAAATCAAAGTAGGATGCCCTAATATTGGAGAGCTCAGATTATCGAGAAACCCCTTTTTTAATGTTCTCAAAAACCACGAGTCTGAAGTAGATAAAATCTATGCGAGATCCTTTATACATGTGATCTACCTAGGGGAAACTAAATAGAAGCTATCATCTCCGAAGCCCGAGGTTGCAGCGAATGAATGAGAGACTTTCGTGGCAAACTTCAAAAAGCATCCGCAAAAGGCAAGCCATCTACGTAGTAGCTAGACAGTATTTGGAAAGGGCATGAAAGTCTGGACGGACAAATCCGATCCGTATATGACCACATTCCTTGCATGATTAGAGGAGAGCAGATGCAGGAGGCTATTGGTGGATCTTCATGCCATAGAATTTCTATCGCCGAGAAATCCCAAATCAGATTATCAAGCCGAGTTGACTAAGTTTTCCGAATTATTCGGAGTTCATCGCTCGATCTAGGAACCGCATATGGATGAAGTCTACAGTGATAAATCTCACCCAAAGGGTGAATTTAGATTGATTCCCATATACCAGCAGAAAAATTGACAAGTCTAGACCCTTGTGGGGATGGCGTGTTCTCGGGGGACATGAATTCTTTGCCTAAGTCCGAACTTGCAGGGATAAAGGGACTATTGTATGTGTGTACTTAGATCTACAAGACTCCTATGGCCGAGGAAGGTTTGCATTTCCGAGGCCGAGAAAACAGAACAATTCCAAAATTAACTGGGATGGTCGGCTTACAAACGCCGATGGCTAATATTGTGGTGCAACATGTCTCTCTCCAGTAGACCCTGTAGATCTGTATCCATTTGACTCCACCCATAGACCCTGCCGTTATCCCGAGAAGGCTTGATTGCGGAAGCTCTCGGATTCGGACTTTAGAGGGACCCGCCCCACTATTGACCTCGGGAATAACATTTCTCGGCTCGGAACTCACCACCGAATTTAGATATTGAGGCCGAAAGTATCAAATCAAACCTTTGAAAACAAGCTCAGGTTCTGTAACAAATCCATTGAACTATAAGAGTGGATGTATCCGTCAAAACTTACATATATTGCTGGCTTTAATTGTCTATTATAACTAGCTTCTCCACTACAAAGTTCCTTCATAATGTCAACGCAAGATCCAGAAAAAGCCGAGCCTACGCAGGCTACGCCTACAATGGCAGAGAAGCCCCTGCCTAAGCAGTCATTCATGTCAAAGGTTCGACTGCGTGAATCTGGACAGACAGCCGCTTTCACTCACCCAGTCAGTCATATCAAGTCCGCCGACGATACTGTGGTCGACTTTGACGGGCCTGATGATCCATATCGCCCAATCAACTGGAGCTTTCAGAAGAAGGCCCTCACCACCATTCTTTATGGAATGACTACCATGGGTAAATGATTTTGGAAATGCATTCTCCTTTTCTGTTGTTTAGTTGCTGACTATCCTTGGAAACTTAGGTGCCATTTGGGCAAGTTCAATGTAAGATACTCCTGTTGAAAGAGTGAAACCAGTGTTTCCCATACTAATATTTATCTAGATACTCGCCCGCCATCCCAGGCATTGCAGAAGAATTTCATATTGGTGAAATCACTGCCACACTCGGTACAAGTATGCTATTGTTCGGCTTCGGGCTGGGACCTATCCTTTGGGCACCATTGTCCGAGCTTTATGGGCGGAAAAAAGTGGTTCTAGTTCCGTATTTCATTTCTATCATGTTTTCCTTTGCAACAGCAGTATCCAAAGATGTCCAGAGTGTCATGATCACTCGGTTCTTTGCCGGGTTCTTCGGCGGTGCCCCTATCACCAATACTGGGGGTGTATTGGCAGACATCTGGTCACCTCAACAACGTGGGGCTGCGATCGTGGCTTATGCAATGGCTTTGGTGGGTGGGCCGGTATTGGGTCCGATTGTGGGCGGTGCGATTGTTGACAGCTATCTTGGGTGGAGATGGACAGAATATGTAAGTCGATGAAATGGCTGCTTTTCCTGCTTGGAAGTTGTTTTACTAACTACTATTCAGATTACCGGAATTCTCCAACTGCTGATGCTGACGCTGGGCGTCATATTTCTTGATGAAACCTATCCCCCAGCGCTGCTCGTCTACAAGGCTCGAAGATTGCGTATCAGCACCGGGAACTGGGCCTTGCACGCCCGCCATGAAGAAATAGATTATAGCCTCAAGGATATGGCTGACAAGTATCTCTTCCGGCCGTTCCGTCTCTTAGTGACGCCTATCTGCTTCTTTGTGGCGCTATATGCTTCATTTGTGTACGGAATCCTCTATCTCAGTCTTGCTTCGTTCCCAGTCGAATTTCAGGAGACTCGAGGATGGAACCCGCTCGTCGGAAACCTGCCTTTCTTAGGAATTCTGACCGGTATGATTCTCGGAGCGATTGTCAACCTCCTTAACCAGAAATTCTATATTAAAAAATTCCGTGCAAACGGCAATCGCGCTGTACCCGAGGCGCGGCTCCCGCCTATGATGCTTGGCTCAGTCTTCTTTTCCGCCGGCATGTTTATTCTCGGCTGGACGAGTCCCAAGAACATATTCTGGCTGTGTCCAGTGATTGGAGCTGCCTCCATGGGGTTAGGTTTCTTCACCATCTTCCAATCTTCCCTGAATTACCTGGTAGACACTTTCACTCGCTTTTCTGCCAGTGCCATTGCGGTCAATACCTTCCTGCGCAGTATCTTCGGTGGTACTTTCCCACTATTTGCAACCATCATGTACCGTCGCATGGGAGTTCCTTGGGCGTCAAGTCTGTTGGGTTTCGTCGGGATGGCCCTCATCCCAATTCCGTTCGTGCTTTACGTCTATGGGCCTGGCATTCGAGCACGCGGGAAATGGTCTCAGCCCTCAGTACACGGACATTGAAACCCGCGAGCAAGAGCGGAGAGAGCGGATTGATAAAGGTGTGTCTATACCACAATTGCCCTCTCCACCACTGGGTTTCTTCTGAATGCCATTTAAGATTCACTGAGCAACGACTCCGAGAATTTACACGCCAATTCAGCTCTAAATACAAATCGTCCACTGGCAATCTGCTATGACGGTCAATAACTACCGAGTTAAATGGATAGCCACAAAGACCTCTAAAGTATAGTTCATATTATTATTTAAAAAGAAAAGAGGAAATATATGACTTAGAGGAAATCTTTTTGCTTTGGAGTCTTAAATAATCAGTTTCTATTTGTGACGATTGTCTCTCTTCTTTCCTTTCCTGGTAGAAGAATTTTAGCTACAATGCAAATGTACTCTTCTGATTATATTGATCTGGCTCGTCAAACTATCTCCATATCTTCTTATCATCATATTCTATCCTATGGGAGTGGCCGCAGCCTAGTAGACTGGAATTAGGGTGTTGGCTTAACTATGGGAGAAAAAGGTGGGGCACTGAGCAGACTAGAATACTTTTTATAAGTAGACTGGAATTACTTCTCGTATGAGGATCGTTCTGAAAATTTGTAGAGTTCTAATCTATATTCCGGAGATTATAGGTACTTAATTCTAGAGCAATTGGTCTAGCCGTAAAGGTATGGTAGCCGATTAAAATTTTGAATTATTTTGATAGGGTACGACTATACGGTATTTTTAATATTTATTCCTACTACTATCTAATATATGTTATTTTCCTATATTACTTCCTCGGACTTATTATTAGTCTTTATTTTTAACTTGGGACTTTATATAGCGAGACTAGGTATATACTAGCTAGTAGTTTATATTTTCTAATATTACTTTCTTAGAATTATTATTACTCTTTATTTTTAACTTAAGATTTTATATAGTAGGACTAGCCTTCCGCACGACCCAGTAAAACCCAGACCCAACCTAGACCCAACCCAGTCTGGGTTGGGTTCTGGGTCGTGCGGAAGTCTAGGTAGGCTCTGACACAACCCACAAATGGGTCCAAAACCTGGACTATTACCCAACTTTGCACAATTTCAGGTCTTGGCAGTCATAAAATTGTGCACTCGTAATCTTTGATATACTGATTCTGTTTGAATTTACTAGATTTAGTATCAATTTAGTATTAAAAATAGGTTTATTTAGTCCATACGCTTATTTGAAAACTAGAAAAAGACCTTGGTTTATTAGAAGTTAGTATGTAATGTGCTCACCGAAGATATAACTATGTTGTTCGGACCACTATCTCCTTTTTACCCCGCCCTTCTTTCCTCGTGCAAACAAACCCATCGTCCCCTAGCCTGACAGCACAAACCAGAAAAATTACGATTAAAGTGCTTCGCACTCGAGAAAAACGGTTGTTCCGGGAAATAAGTCTATTTTGACTCTGAAACAAGTACTACACGCAGCGCCGCGTCGACACCCACCCGTCCCATCCGACAATGGCCCTTTTGCGTGACACGTCGGAAATGAACATCGAACCATCGAGGCGAATATTCTCAAATCTACCGAAAGATGGAATTCGTTTGGTGCACATACAGCAGGGCTCAATTGTTGATGATATGGAATGCCGTGTTGAAGAGGCCACACTATCCGACACATCTCTTTCTTATGAAGCCTTGTCCTACGTCTGGGGAACATTCGACATGAAGAAATACATATCTGTCAATGGCGAAAGATTTCGAGTGACATCAAACCTGGCCGAGGCCCTCAGGATGCTGAGACAGCCTGATAAAGAAGTGACTATGTGGATTGACGCTGTGTGTGTTAACCAGACCGATAAATTGGAGAAGAACACACAGATCCCACTGATGGGTAGGATATACAAAAGTGCCGCGAAGGTCGTCGCTTTTCTGGGCAAACATGACGAGACCAGTTTAAAATTATTCAATGTTCTCATGCAAAAGGAAGAGATCGATCTATTTGACCTTTATCTTCTTCAATCTGCCAAGCAGTCACTCCTCCGTCGGGAATATTGGCAGCGTGCTTGGATTGTACAAGAGTCTTTGCTTGCCTGTGAGAGGTATATCCAATGCGGCCTAGAAAGGGTTTCCTTCTCAAGACTGAAAGAGTTCCACAACGTTCTAATAAGTGATGTTGGGCATATTGAACTCTCTCCAACAGATCCCGAACGCCATACAATTATGACCCTCTGTCGCAATGATTGGCACTCACGCTTTGACCAGCTTTGTTCGACAACATCAGAGCTATCCATAATTGATTTTCTCGACGGATTTCTTGAGAGCCAGTGTGGAGATCCGCGAGACCACATATATGCATTTCTCAGCCTTCTCCCCCCCAAGCTCAAAAAAGATATTGAACCCAATTATGAAAAACCGCCAGGTGAAGTGATTTGCAAAGCAATTCAAGCGGTGATCATGGCAACGCAGAGTCTCTACATAATTACGCTGAGAGCACGACAGGTCTTGTCATCAGAAAAATGGCAACAATCACTTCCATCGTGGTGTCCCTTCTTCGGGGTCCCATATAGGAACCATCCAAATACTACTGTTCTTGAAGGGGATACACGTCTCCGTGTGGCCGACGAGGAATTCGCAAGATTTTCAGAAGAAGGCAAGGTTCTTCACGTCAAGGGAGTCAGACTCGGTAAAATTTGCCATACAGTCCCTCACTTCCCTCAGGCTGATCGTCCGTTCAAGGAATTAACAGCTCAGCATAAAAATAGACTCTTTTATGAGCGGAAGTACGCTTATAAGTGCATACAATTTTTCTTAAAATGGCGCTGCGGGGATGTTGACTTGAATCACACGCTGTTTGGTGAACTCATGTGCACAACATATCTCCCCCGACTTTTGGCCTGTTTGGAGGGAAGGGCCAGATTTGATGGGCACCAGATTAGTCAGATGAATGATTTTGCACAGTCATTCCATGGAATGCAGCTTTGCGCCTTTAGGTGTGCTGACTTGATTGCCTATGGTGGACGCAACACTAAATCCCCTCTCAACAAGCAAAAGCTTGATTTTGCTATCATTCCACAAAGGGCGCGCTGCAAAGATTTATTATACGTGGTGCATGGCTGCGAGCAGCTTGTCGTACTTCGCCGGTGTTGTGATCAACAAGGTAGATTTTATAGAGTTGTGGGTGACGCAAAAGTTTATGGGCACACAGGTCATGACATCCTGTCTCAAGTTAATGCTTGTAAGCTCACACCATTGAAGTTGATATGATAACTAGAAGCTATCAATTTGTCTAGTTGTTAAACAAGCCATTGTCACCGGCTTCGAATAAATAGATACTTAAGTCCCATACTTACCCTTATCTGACACTTTCTATTTCAGCCTTCATCTCACTAGACTGCTTAGCTTATCTTCACTTTTGTTGAAAGTCCCTCAAAATTATGCGATCTGAGGGATCGGTTGCTAGAACTCGGCCTTAGCAAAATTCCCCAAGTCAAACCTCTCACCTCTCGAGTCCACTTTACAGTGATATTGATGGGTTCAATAAACATGGCATCGAGACTTCTGGCTAGCCTAAAGACCCTGTATAGGTCTAAGGCGACCCGGTCATGTAGAGAGAGTGAGAGCGTGTGTAATACATAATGGGTTAGACCTCGTGACAAGTAGTAGTGGTGGTGGACCGACAAAGATGCTTTGTGGAAGTCTCCCTAGGTACGATGGTTAACTGTCAGATTTCATAGTCTCTCTGTAGCTTAGCTTCTACAACTCTCTACTCAATACATCTTACATTCACCATGCACTTCGATGTAGTCCTCTCCTGACATTAACCCATGATCATAATACAGCGCTACTTTACATATGGTATACTGACAACCGGGAAGGCCTTGGTATACCTATATCAGTAGTAGACTGTGTCGTATCTTGTCCGTGGACACTGGCCTAGTGCCCAAATCAATGGGCTTTTTCTATTTATACACCCAAAGCCCAAGATTATGCAATAGTCTTCTACGCAGTAATTTTTCAGGCTATAGCATGCACAGTGGAAATGTACTCCTAGTGGAATGAACCTTGAGGCATCACTTGGTTGGAAATTCTTGTTCCTACCGTGTTTAATATCCCCAGACAATGAGTAACGGGATAAAATCATCCTATCAGAGGAAACTTTTTTAGAAGATTGGTTAATGGTGTGACTGAGAGCGGATATGCCTAGCTGATCACATTAAACCTACACCCTCTTCGCATCAAAGTCCGTCTACCATGAATCATCATGATCCCGCTGATACAGAAGCAAATGCTAATTAGAAAGACTGTTCATCTCCTTAGTACATAGATCTAGCCAAATATAGAGGTCTTAGCAAGACTTTGACATTGCCCGTCTATAGGCACCTAGGAGGTGCGCGGTGGGCATTTTGGATTTTCGAGTGCCCGTCCACAACGCCCACCGCCTATAGGTATCCCAATCTCGGGTATACCTAGACTTCCGTACCGGCCCATAAAGCCCAGAGCCCGACCCGACCCAACCCGCAAATGGGTTGGGTTTTGTGCCTGGCCTTAGGCCCACCGATAGGCCTTGGGCCCGGGGTAAAAGCCCACTAGGCTTTAATGGGGGCCCAGTGGGCCCTAAACAGTACAAATTTACCGAGAATTCAGAAGTTAAACCCCTGTTTAGGGATTTTAAAATTACCTTTCGTTTTACCCCTATTTATAAGCCTTATTCTAAAGGTAATATTTCATTAGTTTAAATTATTTAGAATTAATTACTAGTGACTAGGGCCCCAGAAAACCTAGTATAGGCCCAGTTCGACCTAGTTTTTATATAAAAGGGGGTCTTAGCAGTCATAAACCAGCTAAATAAGTAGAATATATATATAATTGGCATTTTTACTTAGTTTAGGACCTAATTTAGGGCCCCAGACCTAGTACTTACTGGGTTACCTAGTCTGACCCAAACCCATTACTCGGTTGAATCCTTCGACCCAAAATGGGTTATGCGGAAGACTAGTTATAAAATACCTGGTCTACTTTGGACAAAAGTGAAATGCTAATATCGGTTAATAAAGGCTCCCACGAACCAATGAGATGCACTGAATAGCGGTAAGTAATCTATGGTAAAGTGAGGCTGTATAGGCCACCTCCTATAGGATAGATTAATTGAACTTTGATTGATCGATTCATAACCGACCCAATATTCTTAGCAAGTATATTCTCCATAATCCCCTCCCAATCCAAACTCCGCCACCACCTCTGACAAGCACCACCTTCTAAGTACATGGAATCATTGCGTAACACTTTTTCCCGATCACAAATTGGCAAATCTGATACCGGACTTCTGAGCTGTAAAGGTAGAAATAAGATCCATCAGCACTGGCGACAGCACATCGTACGTCTGCAGTCCAATGGCCTTGAATTTGGCTCTCACTTCATCCATTTCTTTCGGGTGGGAACCCTGTTCAATGATGGATGAGACAAAACCGGCGAATTGTGGTTCCTGCCAGCCCTTTTCATCAGACAACTCCACGTGTACAAAGTCGAGACCCTTAAAAGGATGATCCTTCTCGATGCGCCCGAAAAGATGCACACCGCATTCCTTGCAGGCATTCCGTTGAATGGTGGCTTCCTCGTCCACAATCGAAAGTTTCGCAGCATTTGCTGTCACTGAGACGGCATCTCGGGGTACAACACCAACAATGGAGAAGAGAGAACCGGATGGCTTCCAACACTTGGAGCAGCCACAGGCGTGGTTGTGGGCAACATTGCTATTCAAAGTGATCTCGACCTGGTCGGAGGCGCAGCGGCAGTGGAGCTTCCCACCCGAGAAGCTACTGGAGCCTGCTATGATGCCATTGTCGATGAGAGGGTGGAGAGAGGGTGCCATGATGATAAATGTAATCCGAATGGGTATGATTGAGGTTAATGGAAGAATTTAAAATAAATGTTAAGCCCATTTATATATATAGATAAAAGCTCCAACATTAATACTCAAATCCCCTCACATCTCCTCACGAGGGGTTACCGGGGCGTCATCCCGGGAGTATATGGGCACGGATGGTATAGATTGCCAATTGTGGGGGAGGTTCGGCTTCTGAATGGGGAAATAATTTCCCATCTACTTGTCAGACTCGGGATCTATACCGATCCTTTTTTTTAATCAGCGGGGAAAACGAATTCATAATGAGGGGTCTATTCAGCTCTCCAATTCTTATGATTATGTATATTCTTTCTCTGTACGGAGTAATGGCCACGATCATATTCGAAACCTGTTGAAGATGTTGATGTCCACCTGTGGACTGTCAAACGACCTTCCCTGCCCAGGTGTGGACATGGACCTAGCTCACCTGGACTTTGATGAATCACATTTTTGTTGAACTTTGACTTCTTGACTTCTAAGCTTCTTCACTTTTCTATTTCTTCCAACTTTCTAGCTAGTAACTTCTCCGTGACCAAAATTCTGGTAACTTCCACTCTTGCTGATGTCATCGATAAGGAACAAGCCGCGCGGACGGTTCAGGTATAGGCACCATATAAATCCTGGCGTGATTGATTTTCGCCGACCAGCATTAGAGAATTTATTGCGGTCACCGAACGCGACGAGAGCTACGCGGACTTGACCTGGCTCCTTCCACCAGATGGGTTGAGGTAAGTGTATCTCTTGCGCAAAACGGACCGAATCTAACCTTGTTCTTTGCCCCTCTAAGCCTTTCACGAAGCCCAGTGGCACCAACTCTATCAATCCCCCGAGTGTCGCGTGACCCCCGAGAATGATGGTCTCAATCAAAAGTCGTCGAAACTAGCAACGCGTGGTTAATGCCGCTAGAGAACATAACGTAGAGATCGCATCGGGTGTTACAGCAAAGATGGATATTCGATACTTTCTCGAAATATTTGATCTCAAACATCGACACGGAAGCAATCTGTGCTCGTATCACACGTATTGGCGGAAGTCATTATCAAACAAAAACTTCTTCTATTGGTTGGAAGGCGATGGACAAAAGAAAATGGACCTTCCACTATGCTCACAAGACTTGAGAAAGAACATATCCGTTATCTCACAGGCGAGGAAGGTTGAATTACATGGTGATGAGACTGGGCTATTGCGCTGGGCCAAAAACAATGAACTCGATGAGCAAGTCTTATTTCATGGTCGCTGGAATTGAAGGTAACACCAAACAAAACGAAAGGCGCGTGCTGTACATGAGAAGGTCGAGGCTTCTAAGCAAAAGTTCCACCAATTCCAAGAATGAGTGGGAGACAATTGCTGCTTATGAAAAAGTCTGATTGTACCTAGACTTCAGGTCTTATCACACTCGGGTTGCACAGCTTCCTAACGCCTGATTCGCTCATGAGTATAATAGCAAAAGTCCGTATGATCGCACGGTAGGTGAAAACAGTCGCAGAACTTAGGCATGGTGAGGTTTCGCAGAATCCTCCGAGGTTGTGATCATAAAGTCCCGCACCGAAGGTGGTCTCAACGAAGGCTTCAAGGTGTCTTGCAAAACAGGGGTTGCGCAAGTGAAGATCCAGTGTGGCAAGCATAATCCTATAATCCTCGATTTCATATATTCTCGCGACCTACATTGCCCTACATATTTTCGAATCCGTGAACGTTGTGACAAGAAACTGTCGCAGTGTTGAAAACTTATGGAAAGGCCTTTTTGTGTCCTAACAAGGTTGGTTCTTCGCAAACAACCTGCCCGATCCCAACGTCTCGAGACAGGCAACAACGGCCATTCTTCTCCATCGCTGTGGCCAAATTAGCCAATTGCATCGATATCAGTTGATCTCCGAGTTAGACCTTTCATGGACAGGGCTGAAAGCCCATTGTCCCGTATGCAACAAGATATAGACGCATATAGGCATTTAAAACCCTGAACAGCATGCGAGATGTTCCACCCCGGATTGAATTGTGTGACGAATAATATCATCATAAACCTTTCCAAACCCTTGGAACCTTGAAAAGTTGCCGATTTTACATAATCCGAGTGCGTCCCCGGTCGGACTTCTCGGGCAAAATATCCGAAGAATTGTAGACTCATGAACTCCTGGTCACTTTAACTCGCCAATCTATATGTAAAAATAATGACCAAGTCCAAAGCAGCCAAGCGCAAGCGCAACGCACAAGTCGACCTCCCAAAAAAGCTTCCCAAGCCAGTCCCGAATCTAACACCGCCTCCGGATGGCGTCCCCCTCGAGTCCACACATCTCAATGCCGTCGTCTCGGACGAAGAACTCGACATCACAATCGAGACACTGGCGGCGCTTGCACAGTATCCTAGCCTGACAAAGTCAAAAGCATGCAAGGACCTCCGAGTGGCAGTCTATGATTTCCGCCAAACATGCACTACGGGTGTCAACACTGCCGGTATGTTGTCTTGTCTCTGCTCAAAGACTGTAACTAATCACGCCATTCGATAGAGGGCGCCAACTTGACAGCCCGAATAACCGGTGCATTGGCAGACGAAAAATACATTGAAGCTAGGATCTTGCTCGCGGAGATGAGGATTCGGGGGGAACAACCCAAAATCGGAGCCTTGTGTCGCTGGGTACGAGATCTGGATGTCGTCAGCGGCCTCTCGACGCAGCCCAAGGGGCACGATCATGTCCCCCCGGAGCGCAGTGTGAAGGAAATGGAAATTCTCGGTGTGCTTGATGCCATCCTACGCGTCAGCACCCCGATTGACACCAACACGAACGCTGTTGACTCAACCAATCCCATCGCCTTCCAGTCCATCTGGGACCTCCGCCCCTCGACAACACCACTCCCGGTCTACGCTTCAGTCCTCGACAAATCAATCTTGGAAGAGGCGCCCAAGTCTCAATCTGCCCTCCGCATTATCGAACAAACCCCTGGCCCACTCCGCAAACCCCCAAACCATCATCCCGCCATCCTCTTTACGACCACCCCGAACGCCGTCCCACTGGCTCCGGTCGGTCCTTCCATAACATACCACGCACATCCCGCTGTGCCAGGCCTTGGCCTCGTCCTCAACGTGCTATCCGCTGATGAGTGCAAGGCGATCATCGCTGCCGGTGAATCTGTCAATTTTCTGCCGGACGCGCCCCTTCGTGAAGATGGGGACATAAGCATCCTGGCCCACAACTTTTACTGGATCATCGACACCACATTCCACGACATCCTTTGGGCGCGAATCTCCCCGTATGTGCCGCCCTCCATCAACGGTCGCATGGTCCGAGGTATCAATCGTCGCTTCCGTGTGTACAGGTACGTTCCCGGAGCCGAATATCGCTGCCACATTGACGGAGCCTGGCCACCGTCCGGTATTCTCCCGGATGACACATACGTGTATGACTCCTCGCCCGAGGGAAAAAAGCAGAGCTCGATGTACACCTTCCTATTATATCTCAACGATGAGTTTGAGGGCGGAGAGACAACGTTCTTCATGCCAGCCCCGCGGGAGGGAACCCTCAATGGCTACCCAGTGCGACCTGTAATGGGAGCTGTTGCGATATTCCCACATGGGGAGTCGAATGGAGCCTTGCTGCATGAAGGTACAGGGGTGAGGAAGGGAGCAAAATATATTATTCGGACTGACGTAGAGTATGATGTGAAGCCTTCCGAAGAGTGATAATCGAGATATGAATTATGTAGAATTGGTCTTTTGCCACCAAAATGTCATTAATAAAGGCCGCGATATTGGTTCATGTTTGAAATCGTACATGTTGTAGATTGAACTGCCAATCACGCTCTGGAACGGAGTTCGTTTCCTTCCATTATCTCCGAGAATATTATTGAGAATGGCAGGACCTAGGCGATTAGAGGGTTGCAGGGGGTCTGCGAATAATTGCATTCCATCTTTGACAGGGTAAATGTTATTATGTGTTCACATACTTTCAATGGTATCAATTGTCACATCCCTAGAGGGCTGTGGATCTCCAGGTATGATAATACGTCGTCAAATCTCCTAGAAAGGGATATAGTCCCCAAATAAGAGGTAGAGATTACCTCTGCAAAGGAAATCACATCTCATTTTTAACTTTCTAAAAAACCCAAGAGAGAAAAACATTTTTCAAAAAGACATTGTACATTTCATTTTATTTTATTGGTATATACATGGCAAGTTCCCGGGGTCAAGCCTACCAACTAACCTCCTTAGTCGAATGCTTCCAAGAAGTTCCTGAGTGTACCCCAACTTCTTACACTCTGCTTCTTCTTCCTTGCAGCAGCGCATCTTTCAATGGCGATCTGCTGTCATGGAGAGGGCAAGAGCCACTGCTCTACAGATGCCTTGGGCACTGAAATTTGCAGGAAACTATGCGCAGATGGATCGAAGCCAAACCCGTTTTGCGGGAAAGGAAGTGAGTAATTCTATAAAACTCTTTAGTTTCGGATCGATCATTAACGAAACAAAAAAAAAAGAATGTGATCTTCTTGGCTGCAACTACAGTGAGGGATGTCATAAATAACCATATACTGGAGCTAAGCTGCACGGGCACAACACACGATCAGATTGGCTTGGTTTCATTGAGCATCTGTAAATAATGCTTGAGGTTTGGAATAGAAATGGATAGTTGACCTGGATGAAGATATAGGTTTCTCAGTGTTGATGTCTACGATGGTAGACGATGGTGTACCATGTGTAGATTGTTAGAGAGTTAATGTACAAACTAGGAAAGGTGACTGACTATTATAGTCAGTAACTATGGGATGGCAAGCCTGTGGCATCTGAGAGATAACAAACACTCAGCGTTCGGCTTCGAGTTCTGGTGAGACATTTGGACATTTTCTGTATGGGCGAATAAAACGCAGGTCGATCGCCATCTCAGGACCAAAGTTTTAGGGACGCCTCATATGGTTTGATGCAAAAACCTTAGAAATTCAATTTCAGCTATATTATATTATGGATACGAAAAGACCATTGATGGGTGGGATCCTTGGAATTATCTCTTTACGGATTGAGGGTCATCACTGCTAAGCCAAAGTAATATAACGGAATCTAGGGGGTATTTTGATAAACACCTATTGAAACAAATGATGATACAGCAATCTCTCAAGCGGGCCCGACGTGATGCTCCAACAAACCCCAAGAGGAATGTGATCTTACGGGCGATATTTGGAACCCTCGATCACTTTGATCAGATCTTTCTGGATCGGTGACAAAAGCGGCAGTGTTGTCGTGATGCTTCGCACTCCAGCGTGGGTCGATGTGAAGATCATCGTGTAGCTGTTCGACGTCTTCGATGACCGATGGATTTGTGCGGATCACAACAAGAAGACTATTTAGTACCGTGAATTCTAGCAACAACTTGATACTATAGGCCACTGGCTTGAAGGTAGTCTGCACATCAAAGTGGTTGGTATACTCTGTCGTCAGGAGAGCTGCATCCAACAAAATTGCGAGGGCGTTGACAAGAATGAGGTTTATTACAACTCTCTGGCCGCGGCGGCCCTTCATCACCAAAACGGGCCTCAGGCTAGTCATGGTTTCCCAGATGTATAAACCACTGATAATTGTCTCTTGAGCCGCGAATCCCGCCAATTGAATACGCTCGTATATATCAAACGGGCCGAGAAAGCTTTCGACATCGAGATTGATCCCAAGGAAGAGAACAGTGGTGGGAATATGCAAAGCACAAAAGTTGAAGATGATCATGCCCAGCACCCAGCGGGAGTAGCAATCATAGTTAGTGACCAGATGCAGTCGCGAGTACAACACCACAGACTGACCAGTCACCATCGCATACCAGCCGATACAGATCAAAACACACATAGGGAGATTGGGGGCGAGAGCAAAGTAGCGAAGAAATGTCGAAAGAGAGTGAAGAAAAATTCCCAGGGTGGCGATCACCATGCTCCAGAAATAAAGGCCGCGACGGCGTTGGAAGGTATTGAAAATTAAAACCAGGATTTGGAGGACATTCCAACATGCCAGGGCGAAGAGAGCTGCAATTACCATTGCAACCGCCCGAGACACTTTGATAGGTCCCGATTCACCTGTCGCATTGGTTTCACCTGTCATCTTGGTGAACGGCGAAGATTGAGCCAGCGATAAGTGTTGGAAGACGCTCGAGTGGAGGTTCTCGAATTGATGAGCAATGCTGTGGGCCGAAGCCGTTCATAGGAAAGTGGGCATGGTAGTTGAACTTGGATTGAATCACCGATTGTTGAGAAGAATATGTTGTAGAGGCAGGGGTACTCCGTACATAGGAGAACGGGGCCAATTCGGACGATCGCTGTGGAGGTTTGAGGCTAGACCCCAATGGGAAAAGTAATTAGTGCATTTAGAGTTGAGCTACTGACTCCACTTGGGCAGCTATCGTTGGGCCATATACAGTGGTGATATCATTTCCAAGGTTGTCTCATCCTTCACCTTCTGGATTGGGTTATATTCCAAGGTTTCATGCAGACTTGGTTTTGGTACTTACCATGTGCCGGTTTCAGATCTTCGACGGGAGAATCCCAAACTAAAAGTGGGCGAATAACAACTCCAAGGTTCCAAAAGACGAGGGGAGATCTACACAAACTCTATCCCTAGTACGCATATGGTAAGACTGGACAGGTCTCACGGAAAATTTGTCAGTGATTCTGTTGTATTGCCTGTACTTCAATGTTTGTCGAAAGAGGGCTCTCGAATAAACTCAAAACAGACCCGACACTATTGAAATAGCCATAGAATATGAAGCAAAGGCCAGGAAGTGAGATACAGAGACCACTGCTAAATCTACCTGCATTTTAGGCAACGGGTCGGTGAATTCAACAGCAACAACAAAGGAGTCAAGAACCGAACTATTTTGGCATTTTTTACTGTACCAACAGCAGAGCAGCAGAGTTGGCTTTTGCAGAATTCGCAGTGCTAGATGAGAACCTAATCACCACGTAGAAAGAAATGCTCAGCTCCGACGCCAATGAAAACCGAGGTAACTGCTGCTGATGGTATATGGTGATAGGCACAGCGACTTCGCTCGCATCCGTGATACCCATTATGGTTGTCACTGGTGGACCATTTGGACCATCGAAGGTCATAACCGTATTGCAAATCGTGGGGAGTTTCATTCGCCGGCACCTTTCATTATTTTTTTTATGTTTCATAGGCTGTGGCTTGTCTCCAACCCCGCAACGTGCACGCCGATGGGACCTACCGAAAAATTCTCTGGACTCGGTGACGCGACTATCCACGGGAACGCTCGGACCTCCAACTTCGAGGGGGGCCTCAATGGCGTGCTGCCTCACTGCCCCGTTGAGGTGGGGCTCTACCAAGGGATGCTTAAGGTCGTCTAAATATGAGATTTTAGATATTTTAGACCTGTATGGCTTTCATCTCCAAGCCATGGTAGCCCAAAATTCTTTCGCTAGTGGAAAATTGTTGTGTCTTGCAGCGAATGCCAGAGATTTGTTGCCATGATGGTCTGTTGCATTGATTTCAGAATCATCAGCCGCAACTTACTCTCTAGATGGTGTGCTATCACAAACCCAACACCTGAGTATTTTGATTTGAAACGATCTTATTACTTATCTAGAGCATTCACCATGGGAAGTTTCGGATCACTAATCTACCAAGAAATTCTCCATTCTTCAGCTTCGCGTTCTATGGTACCGAGAAGCTGCTAATGTAATGACGCATTGTAACGAAAGCGCCAATGGCTGATACTTCCGCGTGTGGTAGTTCTTCAGCTTAGGAGGCCGCCCTCAGATAGTATACTAATATGATCAAATATCATTACAATATTTTTTGTATGTTTACAGTAAAGCCTTTTCAGCCTAAAAGTAATGTGACCGTTTCGTAATCGGTGGAAGTGAGTTCGATAGTCGCATGAGAGCCAAGGAACAACACACAGGGGGAAGGTATTTTTTTGCGATTTAATTTTAACACCCTAATAGAGCCACCTTGTATGTTGGGCCAACTAAAAGAATCTTCCTCAATAAACCCCTTTTCGCGGCTACCGAATGAATGATTGGCCAACGAAAGCTGTATTCCATAAGGATAAATCGCGAGACTGACCTCTAAATCCAAAACATTACCAAAAAGAACAGTGCCTTTCCGTTGATCAGTGATGGAGGATGGCTCCCACTTTCATCAGAAATAGCCTTAGTATCTATAGCAGATGATGTACGCAAATCTGCGTTTCTATACTGTGCAGGAGAAGACGCAGAAAGATGTAGGTTGTTGTTGGATCTACATACTGCCATGGAGCCCTCTATATAGCTCCATAAGGACAAAGAAAGAGAGGGCTGACTATCTGCCGGAAGCAAGCAAAGTCTCGATTCATTGCTGCACGGGTGCATGCATCAGTAAATATACTCGCAGTCTTGAAACAAGTCTTAGGACTTGCAGCATCAGGGGCCGTCACTGCATTCATGGAAGAGGCAGATTATATCCAATAGCGACCTACCATCGCATTTAATTGATAAAATAATTTCAGCCTCATAGACTTTATGCCATGGATTGTGGTGAAAACCCAACAGGTTCTTTGGGCTCGCTAACGATTATATCATCGATCGGTGCACAAATCAGCAAGTTGGCGCATCAAGCCCCAAGTTAGCCCAATAAGCTGGCTACCGTAGTATCATACTTTGTGGTTTGTGTGCATATGGGCTAGTGCATATAAAAGCAGGTGTGTAGTGTTGGTT